GTTGTTTTTTAAAGAGACAAAAAGAAAGCAGAACAACCTCTTGGTGTCTGTCTACATCTCCTCTTGTGTTCTGGTGTCAAAGTTTATTTTCGCATTCACCCTTTGGAAACAATGGAGAAAAGATGGCAGCTTTCCACACTCAGCAAAACTCTTTACTTAAATTCCTATTTATCACAATGGTTGTGCTGATACCTTAGACCCTTTCAGATCTGACATTCTTTTTTTTTTTTTTTTTTTTTTTTATTTTTTTTTTTTTTTTTTTTTTTGCTGGGTTAGAAATTGAGGGTGTTGAAGTGAGCAGTTAAACTTGAACAAATCGCCATTCAGTTGTTATATAATAGTTATTCACAGTGACCACAAAGAGTATTTAGAGACTATAGCCATATTTAAAACGGAATGTCTTTGCATTAGAAAAAAAAAATCAAGCCTTGTGGCTTCTGCAAACAAATAATGCTAGAGTGAAATGCTGTTTCTGTTTTGTTTTTTTTAAAGTATAATTTAACATCTTTCCGATGTTGATGCACAATGGACAAACTTTTTTTTATTTTTTTGAGTGTTATTTTTGCACGTCTAATTTCATGATGCTGAAATCACCTCTATCTATTTATACAGGATGCAGTGAAACTGCATAATGCTAGCAAGTGATAGAGACACCCATTGCATAAGGGTTATCACTTGAGAGAGAGAGTGGAGCCTTCTACGACCTGGTGTTAAAGAGCAGTCTGACTCGACCCTGACAGAATCCTGGCTGAGAGAAAGAGCCAGACAACTCCACGTTCATGCACAACAATGACAATTGCATGCATGTCTATAAGAAAGTTGCTGCCCTGTTCTTTAATACTTAGAATTCCAAATTAACTAGATTTAATTGTTAATTACTCAAAAAAAATCGTGGATTCATCAAAGCTCATTTACATTAGCTGTAGAATTTGTCTGAATAACACTGTAGACAATTTTATTGACCTTATGGTGTTTGCAAATAAAATGTTCTTGTATAGTCTCAAATATTCTGTGATTAGAAAAGTCTACTTTGCCCTTAGGTAAACCAGTAACTGGTAAACTCTGAACTCAATTACCACTGAGTGGTTTTAGTTGATGAGTATGATTGATTGTCAAGATGAATTTTCCCCCTTTTTAACCTCCTTTTCAGGGCCACTGGACTCCAGTGACTTCTAGTGACTTTTGACCACTCTGCCTTCCGTCTTTCTATTGTATTGCCATGGGCCTTTCTTTCATCTTGCTGTACCCTAACCAACATGTACATACACAGGAAGTCTCATATCCATTTCCTTTGAGTTTGGAACAATTGATCACCTTTTCTCCACCCTTTCTCCTGCCAATTCAGTATTGTAGGTGATGCATTAAAGGGCATGGAAAGCTAGGACTCTTGGTCAGGGTGTGGTTAGATAGTTGTTTGTCACCATGCTTCCAGGAAATTAACTATTTTAAACCCTATGCATGTATTTTTTTTTTCCGGGTCATTCCGGCTCGTGGAGGTAATCATTTAGCCACACTAATGGATGTTTAGCCCTTTATTAGAAAGGCAAAATCCAGAATCCAAGAAAGACTGGACAGTGTCTCATTGAAGGTGTAAGATTAGATTTCCAGTGGAAGCTGAAAGTTTGTTAATTACAACAAAGGGTCAACCAAACCCAGTAGTTAAGATGTTAGCCAAGAGTGTTCTCCATTATATTCAAAGTGGTTGTGCTACTCTAGAAAGTGGCATACAGAGATATGTTAAAGATAGTTTAATAATCTCGTTCACAGTCTCTCTGCACTGCAAGTCTGCAGTGAGGCTTCATTCACTTTTTAGTCTCCCATGTGGAATGGAAGTGAACTGAATCAGGTAAATCCTCCTTATTGTAGCTGGTATCTCTGGGATGCACAAAGAACAGAGAAGAGAGAGACCCACATTGGATCCATCAAATGGCTGGTGCTAGAATAGAGATTAATGGGGATTACCACGTAAGAACAAGAGGATGGGCACTACTGTCAAACCATGCAGGAGTTCTGTGTAAGTCTGGAGCAATATTTAGAAAGTAATCTACTTTTTACAGATTTAAGAGAGAGTGTGGTACATTCTGTTAGTGTTGCTCACAAAGACAGCAAGTGACCCCTTGTGGTATGTAAAATCAGTATGAATACTTAATAGATCTTCTGGAAAGACCGGTCATTGTTCAATTTTGGATGATAGTCTCCAGAATGGGATGCTAGTGTACTAGTTTTCTTAACTAGCAAAAACTCCCATTATCAACCAACCATCATGTAAACCATTTGGCTATGTAAGTCCACCAGCTAGACCAGGGGTAGGCAAGTTCGGTCCTAGAGAGCCACAGTCCTGCAGAGTTCAGCTCCAACCCTAATCAAACACACCTGAACAAGCTAATCAACGTCTTCAGGATTACTAAGGCTATAGGCAGGTGAGTTTTTTCTTCAGGGTTGGAGCTGAACTCTGCAGGACTGCGGCTCTCTAGGACCGAACTTCCCTACCCCTGAGCTAGACCAACCCTAGCAAGTATAAACCACCTTAGAGCAGAGTTTCAGCAAGGGTTCTTTGATATAAATACAATACTGTCCTTGCAAATGCTACCGTTTATTTAGTAGTTCACAAATCCCAAGTGAGATTAAGTCCCAGTTATTCTAAGTAAAGCTACACTGTTTCACTAAAATTGCCTTAGTTATCCGACAACTCAGTTTTTGTGTATTGAGAGTGAGAGCACATCGGATGTGCCACCCCTACCCTTTTTCCCTGCTAATGGCTAATGCTACCTCTATGCTAATGCTAGCCTTTCACTGTATCCTATGTAGTTTTATGGCTGTCAGCTAAATCGTCCCTCAGGAGCAGGAAACGTGGCGCAACAGCATGTAGGCAGATCGGTGTAAGATAACTTTGTTTGAGGGATGGTCCTATGCTTAGCCATAGCCTGGGGCCTGCTTCATTTGCACAATCTGGGCTCATGCCTCAGTGCGCACATTTAATGGACACAGCGGGCTTCATCATGACATCATGCCTTTGTTTGAAATCCCAACACCCATTCACCACTCTGCTGCTGGCTTAGGCTGCCAGTGCCGGCAATATCAACAAGTAGCACCTTTAAATGAAGGCTTCAGGGTCAAGCTAACATGAGGACTGTTTGCTCCAACCTTTAGCATACTCTAATGCAGATGTTGTTGAGATACTCGTGTAGGACTCTGTTGTAAGGAATCCATGTAAGAGTACTAGGTTAGGTTAGAATATATAGTTGATTTATTGTCAGGCTATATTGGTTGCCAAAAATGTCAGTAGATGCCTAAAACAAGCCTCCTGGTCTCTTCTTTTCTCTCAGCCTTGTTTTTGCTGGTTTTAGAGGGGTTTGGGGCACTTAGAAGACTGGGAGACTAGCTCGGCCAACCATATGGACCAGCATAAACTAGCTAAGACTTAGGATGGTCTTAAGCAGGGGTGTCCAATCCTGCTCCAAATGGGTCAAAGTCCTGCAGATTTGCCCGGAAATATCTACAGTAGTTAGTCTGATGACCTTGATTAGCTGGTTCAGGTGTGTTTAATTAGTGTTGGAGCCAAACTCTGCAGGACAGTGGCCCTTCCAGGACAGGTTTCGATGCCCCTGCATAAGACCATCTTAAGTTATAGCTGGTTTAAGCTGGTCTACATGGCTGGCCAAGCTGGTCTTTAACTGGTTGGCCAACTAGTCTCCCAGTCTGATAAGTGCCTGAACCCCCTCTAAAACCAACAAAAACAAAGTTTGGAAACAAGTTTGAACACCCCTGTTATATACACACAAAGTATTCATTGTTTTCGGGACTTCACTGGTGATCCAGTTATTATTATTTTTCTGTTAAAATGATAGTAGAGGGGTATTTTAAGTGATCTTCCTGCTCTTGTATTTCATTCTATCTATAGTAAATGCAACAGGGTCATTGGGTTTATCATGTCAGTCTTATAGTCTATAGTTGCTATAAAATGTTTTAACATTGACTTGTGATACATTTCAGAGGTGTTACTAGTGTTTAATATAAAGAATATATGCAACTGCCTCCACCCACCAAAAACTCACATAACCACCCACTGAACATCATTCTTTAGTATCAACCAATGGCAACATTTAGTCCATGATGTCATTTCTAAAGCACATTCCAGTTGGATGAAAAGTGGTCCACACAGGCTAAAGCGTTGTCCAGAGAGGGATTATTGGTTGTGGTTTTGACTAATTAGACGTGACTATTTTGGCTTTATGTTGCTATTAAAGCATGTGTAAAATTTGATATTTAAATGTAAATTTAAATGTTATACATATTTGCATTTTTTATATCCAGATTCAATTTCCTTTCATGTCTAGTATTGTAATGTATGAGAAAATAAAACTGGTTTCAGTGTACATTGGTTTCATGATAACATGGAGTTTTATAGCCATGTACTGATGCATTATTGTCACATGAAGAAAAAAAACAAGACTCTTGCCATGACTACACAGTTTGATTACACAGTGTTATTATCCATTTATGATATGTGTTATTTATAATTTATGATTCCTTGATTGGGATTTATGTTTAAAAAGGTGAAGCTAGCCTTCAAAAAAAGAACAGATCTATCACTATGATGTGACCACTTTCTCTGATGGGTGTAGCATAGCATTAGCCTTATGTCCATAAAAATTGACATGTGAACAAATTTATGTGTAAAGCCCACCTTACCACTTCCTGTGATTCAAAGAACCAATGTTTCTGAGAAATGTAACCAGATTTTATAATCACTGATTGATAACGATGCTGCTAATTCAAACTCAGAATCATGCACCATGTCAAGTTTACACTTTTAAAATGGCCCTTTTCCCAATGCCAGTGTCACATATGTTCCCATTTGTGTTTTTGAATCCTATTGTACTACGCGTCACCATGCATCGCCCTCTGAATAAAGGCCGTCTGGCTCCCAGCTTAAATATTGCAGCAAACTAAAAACCAACCATCACACTGGATTCATTCACTTCTGCTCACTCGGGCGACAAGGATTGGAGGCCATAGGTGGGAACCAGAGAGCAAAAAGTTAACTTCACACCACAGTGTGCCAAGGGAAGGGGAACACAAATACTCTGGAGCTCTTACTGTGGCAAGTTGCCCATTTTATACTCTTTACCTGTATTGCTGTTTTCTCTACCTTTGGCGTGGACCTATGCATTTGATTCAGCTGTAGTGAATTTGGGGTGTGACCCAAATGTGACATTTTTTGAGAGTTTTTAGATGGGGTGAAAAAATCTAAAATGTGATTGGTTATCTTTCTAACTCTATATGGTTATCTGATAATGCTGCAAATGTGATTAATTAATTCTATCACTAACATAATGACAGTTTACTGTTCACCATTCCAACATTGCTTGCGGGCAATCTACATCAAGTTTATTCCTACATTTTCAATGCAAAAAACATTTCACATCTCTGCCCGCTTTTAAACATATCTTTTGTTTGCTCCGCAGTGCTGACAGTCAACCATGGGTGACTGGAGTTTTTTGGGCAACATCCTCGAGGAAGTAAATGAGCATTCGACGGTAATCGGTAGGGTGTGGCTCACGGTCCTCTTCATCTTCCGAATCCTCATCTTGGGTACGGCTGCGGAGTTCGTGTGGGGCGACGAGCAATCGGATTACGTGTGCAACACGCAGCAGCCGGGTTGCGAGAACGTTTGCTACGACGAGGCCTTCCCCATCTCGCACATTCGCCTGTGGGTGCTCCAGATCATCTTTGTTTCCACACCCTCTTTGGTGTACGTGGGCCATGCTGTCCACCACGTACACATGGAGGAGAAGCGCAAGGAACGGGAGGAGGCTGAGCTTAACAGGCAGCAAGAGTTGAACGAGGAGAGGCTACCAATCGCACCCGATCAGGGAAGCGTCCGTACGGCCAAGGAGACGAGCACAAAGGGCAGCAAGAAGTTCCGTCTAGAGGGCACTCTCTTGAGGACCTATATCTGCCATATTATCTTCAAGACTCTCTTTGAGGTAGGCTTTGTGGTGGGCCAGTACTACTTGTACGGCTTCCGAATCTTGCCACTCTACAAATGCAGCCGTTGGCCATGCCCAAACACGGTTGACTGCTTTGTCTCAAGACCTACCGAGAAAACCGTGTTCATCATCTTCATGTTAGCTGTGGCCTGCGTCTCACTTTTCCTCAACTTTGTGGAAATCAGCCATTTGGGCCTGAAAAAGATCCACTTTGTGTTCCGTAAACCCGTGCGGCCGCAAGTTGAGGGACCAGGAGTGTCCGAGAAGGCCTTGCCTTCCATAGCGTCCTCCTCCATCCAGAAAGCCAAAGGTTATAAGTTGCTGGAGGAGGACAAAGCCATGTCGCACTTCTTCCCCCTGACTGAGGTACGGGGAATGGAGGCTGGGCGGCTGCCAGCTCCGTACGAGCCATTTGAGGAGAAAACGGACGAGGCGAACAAACCTAAGAAAGACGTGTCTAAGGTGTATGATGAAACACTGCCCTCCTATGCCCAGATGACCGTGATAGGACCAAGCGCAGCAGCAGGAGTTGTAAGCAGGGATGAAGAAGAGGACGAGTTGGCCATCGAAGCAGATGTGGAAGCCAGCGAGACGATAGAAGACACGAGACCACTCAGCAGCCTGAGCAAGGCCAGCAGTCGGGCAAGGTCAGATGACTTGACGGTATAAATAATATAGAACTGGATTAGAAGTGCAGCAGTGTAATTTGTAGTTTTTTGGGAAAGTGTAGAAAGTAAAAATAAGAGAGAGAGCGAGAAAGAAAGATGTGCCTTTCATCAACTGTGGCAACACTTATAATACCAGCTCTTTATTTTGAGGAAGAAACCGATTTGAAAAAAATAATGCTGTGCAATTTTCATGTGAAATTTTTTTTTTTTTTATGCAGCAGTATTTTTTTCTACTGTTTTTATCAAACAGTTAACAAACCAAAGTTAGAGATCTGCAGCAGATAGATCTATGTAGGGAGGAGGGATTTAGAAAAACATGTGCTGTTTTTAAAAAAAAATAACATTTTCTATCCAGAATTTTGCTCGAAGGTGGGATTCTGATGTTTACATTTTTGGATTAGCCATTAGCTGAATGTTGTCTGTGATATTTTGTTATTATTCTGATAAGAAAACTGTCAGGGCATCATCCTTTTCACCTCAGTAAGTTCAACCATACATGATGATAAACATTCAATCAAGCTTATTGATTTGTATGTGAATGGTACTGTAATGGATATGTGTACTGTATGTGTGAGGTGAAACAAATGCTGATAGTTGCAATGATAGTCGTTCATCGTGGCATAGTAGCAAAATATAAAGTATTTATTAAAAGAAATGACCACCGCTGATTTACGTTAAACATAATACCTTGTTTCTGGTCTCACTGACTTACATTAAGAGTCACTTGATTTCATAAACTGTACGATAGAGTGTATCTAGCGATAACTGTAATAATTACATTAGCCATCGAAAAGATTGTAGGCCACATTCTTTCTAGTCTCTCTGCGCATACAGCCATGATGATGATGATAAAGATTACGGCCAATCAGCACAAAGTATTGCTCAGCAAGATACAATAAAACAACATTCCATGACATGTCACCACAGACAGTCTGACATCCTTGATGTTGTTGGAAACAACATTTTCATACTTTGGTCCTCCATGACATTTCATTAAAAAAAAAAAACATTCACAATATATCTTAAAAGGCTGAAGGATTTTGCCTCTTTATTGACTTAACATTTTTAGCAGAGACATGTCTTACATTTTAAACTATGCCTTAAAATTTAGCATGAAATATAGAAATAAAAAAATAATCAGTCATGCATGAGTATGAGTTTTTGATTTTTGCTTTTATTTTAGTTATTACTTCTGACCAACTAAATTGTCACGCTTTTCACAGTCACAACACGTAATTTACTGAAATGTATAAAAATGATTCATTTCATGTCAAATGAGTGTTTATGATAACTGGTATGTCAAATAAGTTAAAACCGCCTGCATTTTCTTTTCTCCTCTACCCTGCCAACAGTTTCATATTAGTTTGGACTGAATGTAAAATTGTTGTATTTCATGTCGATGCCATGAGGTAAAGACAAACTTTTCCAGAACCTAAAGAATTTAATGAAACTAGAATTGAAAGGCTAATTTTCTGTACTATATGTTGTATTTGGATGGTATTATTTAATGGCCAAATCTGCTTGGGCAGACTGCATGAGACATAAACAGCACAAAGATCATCAAGTAGGTCAAATAAAAAATTGCAGAAGTAAAAAGAAACCCATACAAGCAGAGGAACGGTCATCATTTTGCCCCCCTAGTTACTGTACTAATGTGAAGGATGGCATTGTCTGTTCACAAAGCCTTAAAGCAGATGCTTAACAGCAGTTATTAAAGGGTTTATCTCCTCTGTTTTGTTTTTCTGATGAACAGTTCTTCACGGTGACTTTTCTGAGAACTGGTTCGTGGAAACACCAATAAAAGACTGAGGGCTGTTACTGATAAGATAAGAGCATGAGATTACTTCATAGGGAAGCTTGCTTTCATGGTCTGTGAAATGCAAAATGAAACCACCACTATGACACACATTACCACAGAGTTTGCGTCAGTGCAATAGTTATACATTGTGCTGTGGTCACAGGCGTAGAGAAGACAGCGATCAGCCTGTTTGCCGAATCATAAAAGCACACACCAGATTTCGGAGTGATGACTATTGGTTCTTAACTGTGAGTTTCAATGGCAAATTGTACTGAGAAGTCACTTTGTTTAAGGCCTTCTGCCACATCATTTATAATTTCTTTTTTTACTAACTTGTAGTCCTTTACTGCACCTATACAGAAATGATTGTCAGTTGAAACCTGTGGATATAGCCAATAAAAGGTTATGTGTGGTCAACAAGACTGTCTGTTAGTATTTATTAATATCACAGTGTGAAAAAACATTCTTTCCAACACAAGCAAGTTTACATATACAGGTCTCCCTCAAATACATACATCTAACTCTGAAAGACATACAGTACCAAATTTCTTAATTTGTGGAATATACATTATGCATATGCAATCTATTAATAAAATGATACACAAATTACATACAGTGGGTACGGAAAGTATTCAGACCCCCTTAAATTTTTCACTCTTTGTTATATTGCAGCCATTTGCTAAAATCATTTAAGTTAATTTTTTTCCTCATTAATGTACACACAGCACCCCATATTGACAGAAAAACACAGAATTGTTGACATTTTTGCAGATGTATTAAAAAAGAAAAACTGAAATATCACATGGTCCTAAATATTCAGACCCTTTGCTCAGTATTTAGTAGAAGCACCCTTTTGATCTAATAAAGCCATGAGTCTTTTTGGGAAAGATCCAACAAGTTTTTCACACCTGGATTTGGGAATCCTCTGCCATTCCTCCTTGCAGAGCCTCTCCAGTTCTGTCAGGTTGGATGGTAAACATTGGTGGACAGCCATTTTTAGGTCTCTCCAGAGATGCTCAATTGGGTTTAAGTCAGGGCTCTGGCTGGGCCATTCAAGAACAGTCACAGAGTTGTTGTGAAGCCACTCCTTCATTATTTTAGCTGTGTGCTTAGGGTCATTGTCTTGTTGGAAGGTAAACCTTCAGCCCAGTCTGAGGTCCTGAGCACTCTGAAGAAGGTTTTCGTCCAGGATATCCCTGTACTTGACCGCATTCATCTTTCCCTCGATTGCAACCAGTCGTCCTGTCCCTGCAGCTGAAAAACACCCCCACAGCATGATGCTGCCACCACCATGCTTCACTGTTGGGACTGTATTGGACAGGTGATGAGCAGTGCCTGGTTTTCTCCACACATACCGCTTAGAATTAAGGCCAAAAAGTTATATCTTGGTCTCATCAGACCAGAGAATCTTATTCAGGGGTTTTTTAGCAAACTCCATGCGGGCTTTCATGTGTCTTGCACGGAGGAGAGGCTTCCGTCGGGCCACTCTGCCATAAAGCCCCGACTGGTGGAGGGCTGCAGTGATGGTTGACTTTCTACAACTTTCTCCCATCTCCCAACTGCATCTCTGGAGCTCAGCCACAGTGATCTTTGGGTTCTTCTTTACCTCTCTCACCAAGGCTCTTCCCCCCCGATAGCTCAGTTTGGCCGGACGGCCAGCTCTAGGAAGGGTTCTGATCATCCCAAACGTCTTCCATTTAA